GCAAAAATCTTCAATAAAATATTGGCAAGCCGAATGCAACAGCAAATCAAAAAACTTATTCACCATGATCAAGTAGGATTCATCCCGGGGATGCAAGGCTGGTTCAACATACGCAAGTCTTTAAACGTAATTCACCACATAAACAGAACCAAAAACAAAAACCACATGATTATCTCAATTGACGCAGAGAAGGCATTTGACAAAATTCAACAGCCCTTTATGCTAAAAACCCTCAATAAACTCGGTATCGATGGAACGTATCTCAAAATAATAAAAGCTATTTATGACAAACCAACAGCCAATATCATACTGAATGGGCAAAAACTGGAAGCATTCCCTTTGAAATCCGGCACTAGACAAGGATGCCCTCTTTCACCACTCCTATTCAATATAGTTCTGGAAGTTCTAGCCAGAGCAATCAGGCAAGAAAAAGAAATAAAGGGTATTCAAATAGGAAAGGTGGAAGCCAAATTGTCTCTATTTGCAGACGACATGATAGTATACCTAGAAGACCCCAACACCTCAGCCCAAAAACTCCTGAAACTGATAAGCAACTTCAGCAAAGTCTCAGGATATAAAATCAATGTGCAAAAATCACAAGCATTCATCTACACCAATAACAGACTTAAAGAAAGCCAAATCAAGAACGAACTGCCATTCACAATTGCTACAAAAAGAATAAAATACCTTGGAATACAACTCACAAGGAACGTAAGGGACCTCTTCAAGGAGGACTACAAACCACTGCTCAACGAAATCAGAGAGGACACAAACAGATGGAGAAATATTCCATGTTCATGGTTAGGAAGAATTAATATCGTGAAAATGGCTATACTGCCCAAAGTAATTTACAGAATCAACGCTATCCCCATCAAGCTACCATTGACTTTCTTCACAGAACTGGAAAAAAACACCATGAACTTCATATGGAACCAAAAGAGAGCCCGCATAGCCAAGTCAATTCTAAGCAAAAACAACACAGCGGGGGGCATCACACTACCGGATTTCAAACTATACTACAAGGCTACAGTAATCAAGACAGCATGGTACTGGTACCAATACAGAGATATAGACCAATGGAACAAAACAGAGGCATCGGAGGCAACACAACATATCTACAACTATACAATCTTTGATAAACCTGACAAAAACAAGCCATGGGGAAAGGATTCCCTGTTCAACAAAAGGTGTTGGGAAAACTGGCTAGCCATGTGCAGAAAGCAGAAACTGGACCCCTTCCTGATACCTTACACTAAAATTCACTCCAGATGGATTAAAGACTTAAACATAAGACCTGGCACCATAAAAACCCTAGAAGGAAATTTAGGCAAAACTATCCAGGACATAGGAGTAGGCAAGGACTTCATGAACAAAACACCAAAAGTATTGGCAACAAAAGCCAAAATAGACAAATGGGACCTAATGAAACTCCACAGCTTCTGCACGGCAAAAGAAACAGTCACTAGAGTGGATCGGCAACCAACAGAATGGGAAAAAATTTTTGCAGTTTACCCATCTGACAAAGGGCTGATATCCAGAATTTACAAAGAACTCAAACAGATTTACAGGAAAAAAACAAACAAGCCCATTCAAAAGTGGGCAAAGGATATGAACAGACACTTTACGAAAGAAGACATATATGAGGCCAACAATCATATGAAAAAATGCTCATCGTCACTGGTCATCAGAGAGATGCAAATCAAAACCACATTGAGATACCATCTCACGCCAGTTAGAATGGCGATCATTAAAAAATCTGGAGACAACTGATGCTGGAGAGGATGTGGAGAAAAAGGAACACTTTTACACTGTTGGTGGGAGTGTAAATTAGTTCAACCATTGTGGAAGACAGTGTGGCGATTCCTCAGGGCCTTAGAAATAGAAATTCCATTTGACCCAGCAATCCCATTACTGGGTATATATCCAAAAGTCTATAAATCGTTCTACTATAAGGACACATGTACACGAATGTTCATTGCAGCACTGTTTACAATAGCAAAGACCTGGAATCAACCCAAATGCCCATTGATAATAGACTGGATTGGAAAAATGTGGCACATATCCACCATGGAATATTATGCAGCAATCAGAAATGATGAGTTTGTGTCGTTTGTAGGGACATGGATGAATCTGGAGAACGTCATCCTCAGCAAACTGACACAAGAACAGAAAATGAAACACCGCATATTCTTACTCATAGGCAGGTGATGAAAAATGAGAACACATGGACACAGAAAGGGGAGTACTAAACACTGGGGTCTATTGGGGGGAAAAGGGGGGGGCCAGTGGGAGGGGGAGGTGGGGAGGGATAGCCTGGGGAGAAATGCCAAATGTGGGTGAAGGGGAGAAGGAAAGAAAAGCACACTGCCATGTGTGTTCCTACGCAACTGTCTTGCATGCTCTGCTCATGTACCCCAAAACCTAAAATCCAATAAAAAGTTAAAAAAAAAAAAACTGCAGAAAAATAGTAAGATCCTTGGACACCTACGAAAAAAATTAGAAAGGTATATTATGGCGAATATAAGGCCCTAGGAAAAAGCTTGGGTTAAACTCTTTAAAAAAAATTAAAAGAGTTAAATGTACCTAAGAAATATTGAAGAAAAGAATAAAACCCATACCACAGGCCCAGATAGTTCCAGGCCTATAAAATACCTGAGAATTACTTATGCCTTCACTCTAGGACAAACACCAGGCATAGAGACTAGCTAATTAGTAAACATCTTCCTAACCAATCCACAAATAATGGGAGATGTGGCTGCTTTGCTTCCTACCAAATTTTTGACAAAAGATTACAAGGCATATGAAAAAAGAGAAAAACATGATCCATTGAAAGGGAGAAATGAATATCCACACACTAATTATACAGAAACACAGACATTCGATTACTAGATGAAGACTTTAAAATAACTGTCTTAAATATGCTCAAAGGTCTAAAGGAAAACATGGACAAATAACTAAAAGATATCAGAAAAACAATAAGAAAATAAGATTGTTCACAAAGAGAGATAATGAAAATAACCAAAGAGATACCAGAGTTGAAAAATGCAGTAAGTCAATAGAAAAATTTACTACAGATGTGCAACTCTGAACTTGAGTAAGCAGAAGAAAGAGTCGGCAAACTGGAATATAGATAAGTTGGAATTATTGAATTTGAAGAACAAAGTTATTTTAGAAAAAAATGGTGGAAAAGATTGAAGAGAACTGAAGGGACTTTAGGGATGTCATCAAATGGGCCAATATATGCACTATGGGTATTCCAGCAGAAGTAGAGAGATAGAAAGGGACAGAAAATTTATTTAAAAAAATACTGAATGAACACTTCCCAAATTTCAGGAAAGATATAAAAAAAATCGGTTTCCTATATATTAATTAAAATAAACCTTATGTCTCACACCAGTGCATTTAAAGCAAGCTGTTAAAAGGCAAACATAATAAGAATATTGCAAATAACAAGAAAAGAGTGATTCATTACATGCAAGGAGTCACCAAAAAGATTATTGGCAGATTTCCCAGTAGCAACATTGTAGGAAGAAAGTAGTGAGATGATGTATTTAAAGGTATAAAAGAAAACAACCATAAAAACAAATAAAAACAGAAAACAAAACAAAACAAAACTTTAACATTTGATGAAATTTTTCTTCAAAAATGAGGGATAAATTAAGACATTTCCAGGCAAACAAAAGCTGGAAGGCAGTTGTTTATTGCCCCTAGATCTGCCCTGCAAAAATGCTACAGGGAGTCCTTCAGGTTAAAATAAAAGGTTGATTTATAAAAAGTACCCTAACCCATATGAAAATACCAAGTTATCCAGTAAAGCTAAACACATAGGCAAATATTCTTAAAACTATTTCAGTAATATTGGTTTGTAACTATTTTTATTTCCAAAAGATTTTTCAAAATAATGAGTAATGATAATCATAAATCTATATAAACAACCACATAAAAATAAGCAGGTAATTTGTGATATCAATACATAGAGACAGGAGGTGACACACCAAAAGATTATAGTTTTGTACACAATTTAAGTTGGTATACATTTAAGATGGATTTTCATACTTTTGGAATGTTGTATGCAACTTCTATGGTAATGACAAAGAAAATATTTATAGAATATACACAGAAGGAAATGAGAAGAGAATAAAAATGTGTCACAATAAAAAAACACAAAAAAAAGTATATATGGAAAAGGTGAGAAAAATCAGCAAGACATACAGATGACAACTAATAATACAATGTAAGTTTTTTTTTTCTGTTAGCAATTAGTTTTAGTATGAAATAAACTCTGAAATCAAACGATCCCAATTGGAAAATCAAATTTTAAAAAAGAATCAAACTATACATTGTGCATAAGAGACTCACTTTAGATCCAAAAACTCATTTAGATTGAAAGTGAAAGAACGGAAAAGTACATCTCATGCAAACAGTACCCAAGAGACAGATGGGGTGCCTCTACTCACATCCAAACAAAAAGAATTCAGTCTAAAACTATTATAAAAGACACAGAGGTTGTCCTATGTAAAAGATTATTTCACCAAGAAGATGTAACAATTATAAACAAAAATGCACTGAACATCAAACCTACAAAATACAAGAGCCAACACTGACAGAATTAATGGGAGAAATGAACAGCTCTGCAATAATCCTAGGAAATGTAAATATTCCACTTTCAATAATAAAGACTCCAAATGGTGAGTAGGTGGAAGGAGGATGGATGATGAGAAACTACTTGGTGGGTATGTTGTATGTTATCTGGGTGATGGCTATCCAGAAGCCCTGACTTGACCACTATGTGATCTATGCAGGTAATAAAGTTGCATTTGTATGCCATAAATTTATGTAAACAAAAAAATGAGTAGTACAACTAGACAGAGAATCAAGAAAAGAAAATCCTTGAACAACACTATAGGCCAATATGAACTAAGAGACATAAAAACACAGTACTTCACCCAGATGGACCAAGATGGTTGAATAAAAGCCTACACTATACATTCCCTCAACAGGAACACCAGATTTTGACAACTACACACAAAAAACCACCATCACAAGATCAAAAAACACGGTATCTGGTTTTAACTTTAGATTGCTGAAAGAGGCACTGAAGAGGGTTGGTAGAAGAAACAGTCTTGAATCACCAATGCCACACCTCCCCAACTTGCTGGCAGTGGCCTTGCAATACAGAAAGAAAGTCTGCATTTGTGGGAGTGAGAATGCAGCAACCAGGGGATATTACATTGAACTCTATGCTTCCCTGTTACAACAGAGAGCAAAGCCATGTTGGGTTCAGCCAGTGCTCATGAATTTGGGCCAGTTCTAGCCAGAGGGGATTAGCCTATCCTAGCAATCAAAACTTGAGCTGCTTAGCAGGCCTTTTCACCACAGGCCAAAGTGCTCTGGTGTCCTAGAAATACTTGAAAGACTGTCTAGACACAAGTATTGCAATACCTAGGCAACCCCTAGCGCTGGGTTGGTCTAAAAGCCAGTGGACTAGGGTGACACATGAACTAAAGAGACAGCAGATGGAGTGGCTAGGGGAGGGCTTCTGTTATTTGTCCCCCAAACCTAGCCAGTGTAGCTGGCAGTAACAAAAGTGATTCTTCCACCTGGATGAGTAGAGGAGATTGAAGAGTACAGAAGACATCATCTTGCATCTTGAATACCAGCTCAGCCACAGTAGGTTAGGGCAGCGCAGAGTTGTGAGGCTCCCATTCCAGACCCTAGCTCATGGATGACATTTCTAGAAACGCCTTATGCCAAAAGGAAACCTGCTGCCTTTATGCCATCAACAGAAGGACCTAGTTTTGGCAAGATTCATCACCTGCTGAGTAAAGAACACTTAATCCTTGAATAACCAACAGCAATACCCAGGTAGTACACTGTGGAACCTGTGTTCTGAGACATGCTGGCTTCAGGTGTGACCTAACACATTCTCACCCATGGTAGCTATGGTAAAATATTTTCTGTTTGAGAAAAGCAGAAGAAAAACTAAAGGGGATATTGTCTGGCACCTTAAGTATGACCCCAGCTACTATGGGGTAGAGAACCAAGTTGGCTCATGGATTCTGAAGTCCAGTCCTAGGCTCCTGGACAGCATTTATAGACCCGCTCAAGTCCAGATGGGAGCCCACTGCCCTGAAGGGTGAGTCCTATGGCTGGCAACATTCACAAGAAGCTGACTGAAGAGCCTTAGGCTATAAGTGAACATTGGCAGTCACCCAGCAGATACCTCCATGGGACAGTGGTGATGGTGCAGCTGCAGGGACTCACCGCAATAGGAGCAGCTGCAGGGACTCACGACCGCTTCGCGGTGTTCACCGAGAAGGTGCATCAGCTGGAGACACAGAACCGCGCGCTGGAGACCGAGCTGGCCGCGCTGCGGCAGCGCCACGCCGAGCCGTCGCCCATCGGCGAGCTCTTCTTCCAGCGCGAGCTGCGCCACCTGCGCGCGCAGCTGGAGGAGGCGAGCTCCGCGCGCGCGCAGGCCCTACTGGAGCGCGCAGCCCCTGCTGGAGCGCGACGGGCTAGCAGAGGAGGTGCAGCGGCTGCGGGCGCGCTGTGAGGAGGAGAGCCGCGGACGCGAAGGTGCGGAGCGCGCCCTGAAGGCGCAGCAGCTCGACGTGGACGGCGCCACGCTGGCCCGCTTGGACCTGGAGAAGAAGGTGGAGTCGCTGCTGGACGAGCTGGCCTTCGTGCGCTAGGTGCACCACGAGGAGGTAGCCGAGCTGCTGGCCATGCTCCTGGCGTCGTCACAGGCCGCGGCTGAGGTGAACGTGGCTGTGGCTAAACCAGATCTGAGCTCGGTGCTGAGGGAGATCCGCGCCCAATATGAGTCCTTGGCTGCTAAGAACCTGCAGTCCGCGGAGGAATGGTACAAGTCCAAGTTCGCCAACCTGAAGGAGCAGGCGGTGCGCAGCACCGAGGCCATCCGAGCCAGCCGCGAGGGGATCCACGAGTACCGGCGCCAGCTGCAGGCGCACAGCATCAAGATCGAGGGCCTGCGCAGGGCCAACGCGTCCTTGGAGAGGCAGATCCTGGAACTGGAGGAGGGGCACAATGCCGAGGTGGCTGGCTACCAGGATGACATTGGGCAGCTAGAGAATGATCTGAGGAACACCAAGAGTGAGATGGCATGCCACCTTCGGGAATACCAGGACTTGCTCAATGTTAAAATGGCTCTTGACATTGAGACAGCAGCTTACAGGAGACTGCTGGAAGGCGAAGAGACACGTTTTAGCACCAGTGGGTTAAGCATTTCGGAGCTGAATCCACTTCTCAATCCAAGTTATCTGCTTACATCTAGAATCCTCAGTTCTACAACCTCCAAAGTCTCATCCACTGGGCTATCACTTAAGAAAGAGGAAGAGGAGGAGGAGGCATCTAAGGTAGCCTCTAAGAAAACCTCTGAGATACGGGAAAGTTTTGAAGAAATATTAGAGGAGACAGTAATATCTACTAAGAAAACCGAGAAATCAAATATAGAAGAAACCACCATTTCGAGCCAAAAAATATAATTTCAATGCTTTGAAAGAGTTAATGCTTAAGAGGGAATGATATGCATTTGACGTGTTAAACAGCCTGTTCCTGAAACATAACACCTGCCACACCCCTATGAAATGTCTTCAAGGCTTCATTCTCATATTTAGTATTGAATACTTACATTCTCTAATAAGACAATCACCCCTTAGATTGAAGTAAACTGCAATCCTGGAGCAATCACAGATGAGTTATCTAAGAATACAGCTTTCTGACCTTCAGCTCACGCTTCACAGTGATTGATGATTCAGGTGCAGAGGAAGTACAAACTAAGGTGCTAAATCTGTGATCATCGTCATTTGCTGTGAACTGAAATTATTCACACTACCCAGCCATTATCCAGCTAAATAATCTTATTCTAGATACCTAAAACATAAGATCAGTGCCAAAGATAAACTAATGGTCCACACCCAGTTCCACTCTGATAGAACTGTTTCACAAATAATAGGTGTTTGTTTAATGGACACTTTCCACTTCCCTCAATTCCATATATCCTTTTCTTCCATGCAGGAAAAAAATAGTCTAGTGTAGTATTCTTCCCTTTTAAACACATTTTGGTTCTTCTCAAAAGAACTTACCCGTTAGCTCTCTTTGCTCAGTGGGTAAAATTAGATGCATGTTGACCATGTCTATGATTCGTGTAATGACTCATCCCTGCCCATTTCATATTCTTTTAATCCTATAGGCTAAAAAAATGCCGGTGATGAATTTTAAGGGTTTTCCCCAACAAATAAAATAATGAAAAGAATCCCTAGACTTTAGGCTTTCAGCTTACACAAATCCATTTAATTAGGAGAAAAAAGCTATTAAGGATGTAGCTTTTCACCTTTACTTTAGAAGCTCAGTAAATAGTTATTCCAAACTGTGATTAAGCTGAACTTAGATTTATTAGTATAAGCTAGAAGTGAGTGTTTCTATGAGTGGAAAAAGCCAAGGTGTCATTTATGTGTCAGTTCATTTGTGGTGATATAGAATTAGCTTTTTCATGCCCTTACCCTTAGAATCCACTCATTCCTTTTCCCACTAGTCTGGGTCCTAAAGAGGCCTTGCTTTCACTCTTATGCCTTTTATGAGTACTAAATATAGGACAGTTTGTCACCAGAACACAATGCTATTGCCCCAAAGTAAAAGAAACCACTTCTGGTCAATCAACACCACCAGCAAGTATAAAAAAGAAATCTTTCTTTTCTCTCTCTCTTTTTTTAAATCTTCAACTTTTATTTTAAGTTTAGGGGTACATGTGTAGGATGTTCAGGTTTGTTACATAGGTAAATGTATGCCATGGTGGTTTGTTGCACGGATCAACCCATCGCCTAGGTATTAAGCCCTGCATGCATTACCTATTCTTTCTGATACTCACCCTCTCCACAAACCCACTCCTGTCAGGCCCATTCACGTCTCTCACTCAACTTATGTCTGTGAGATTCTTCCATGTTATTGTGTGTATCAGTAGTTAGTTCTTTTATATATATGTATATATATATTTTTAGTTTTTTAATTGCATTTTAGGTTTTGGGGTACATGTGAAGAAGATGCAAGGTAGTTGCATAGGTACACATGTGGCAGTGTCATTTGCTGCCTTCCTCTCCTTCACCTATATCTGGCATTTCTCCCCCTGCTATCTCTTTCCAACTCCCCACCCCCCGCTGTCCCTCCCCCATTCCCCCAACAGACCCCAGTGTGTAGTGCTCCCCTCCCTGTGTCCATGTGTTCTCATTGTTCGACACCCACCTATGAGTGAGAACATGCGGTATTTCGTTTTCTGTTCTTGGGTCAGTTTGCTGAGAATGATGTCTCCAGGTTCATCCATGTCCCTACAAAGGACATGAACTCATTGTTTTTGATTGCTGCATAATATTCCATGGTGTATATGTGCCACATTTCCCAGTCCAGTCTATCATTGATGTGCATTTGGGTTGTTTCCAGGTCTTTTCTATCGTAAACAGTGCTTCAATGAACATTCGTGGGCATGTGTCCTTATAGTAGAACGATTTATAGTCCTTTGGATATATGCCCAGTAATGGGATTGCTGGGTCAAATGGAATTTCTATTTCTAGGTCTTTGAGGAATCACCACACTGTCTTCTACAATGGTTGAACTAATTTACACTCCCACCAGCAGTGTTAAAAAAAAAAAAAAGAAATCTTTCTCTTTTCTAAAAGACTTCCCCAACATTTACCCCATGGCTGCACAGTTGGTGGGGTCCTGCCGGAAAGGAAGAGACACTCAGACCAGAGGAGAGGTGTGCATGGGCCTACTCGCTTGCTAGAAGTAGATTTTGGACAGTCAGCTCTTCATCTGCCCAACTATGTAGCATCTTCGTTGTCCAGTCTTTCACTTGTGCCAAGGCTGATGCAGGATTTGTTTTCTGTCCAGCAGTCACTTCTGCCAGAGCTGAAGAGTTGCCCCATCTCTCTTCTGCATCTCCTTTAAGAGCTCTGGTGATAAGGACATGAACTTTCTTATCCTAGCACATGCTTCAATAGTTCAAGGAACTTGAAAGATACTTTTCCTTACCTTTACCCCATCCCTATCTTTACTCCTCACAGTTACTGTAAGACATTAGTAAAATAAGAAATTAAAAGTCACATGAATCCCACCAATGTAAAATATATATACATATATATATATATATATGCATCCAATACAAGAGCACCCAGATTCATAAAGCATATTACTAGAGACCTACAAAGAATCTTAGACTCCCACACAATAATAATGTGAGACTTTAACACCTCACTCTCATTATTCAACAGAACAATGGGACAGAAAATTAACAAGGATATTCAGTACTTGAACTCAGTCTGGACCAAGCAGACCTAATAGACATCTACAGAACTCTCCTCCCTAAATCAACAGAATATACATTCTTCTCAGCACCACATCACCCTTATTCTAAAATCGACCACATATTTGGAGGTAAAAAGCACCTCAGCAAATACAAAAGAATGGAAGTCATAATAAACAGCCTCTCAGACCACTGTGTAATCCAATTCGAAATCAGGAATAAGAAATTCACTGAAAACCACACCACTACATGGAAATTGAACAACCTGCTCTGAATGACTACTGGATAAATAACAAAATTAAGGCAGAAATGAGTAATTTTTTTCAAACCAATGAGAATGAAGACACAAAGTACCAGAATCTCTGAAACACAGCAAAGCAGTGTTTAGGGAAAAAATTATAGCACTAAATGCCCACAGGAGAAAGCAGGAATATTCTAAAATCAACACCTTAACATCACAATTAAAAGAAATAGAGAAGTAAGAGCAAACAAATTCAAAGGCTGGCAGAAGACCAGAAATAAATAAGATCATAGCAGAACTGAAGGAGATAGAGACATGAAAAACCCTTCAAAAAATCAATGAATCAAGGAGCTAGTATTTTTAAAAGATTAACAAAATAGATCTCTAGCTAGACTGATAAAGAAAAAAAAGGAGAATCAAATACACACAATAAAAAAATAAAGTAATATTAACTCTTATTCACAATTGCTACAAAAAGAATAAAATACTTAGGAATAAAACTTACAAGCAATGTGAAGAACCTCTTCATGGAGAACTACAAAATAATGCTCAATGAAATAATAGAGGACACAAACAAATGGAAAAGCATTTCATGTTCATGGATAGAAAGAATCAATGTTATGAAAATAACCATACTGCCCAAAGTAAATTATAGATTCAATGCTATTCCCATCAAGCTACCACTGGCTTTCTTCACAGAATTAGAAAAAAACTACTTTAAATTTTATATGGAACCAAAAATGAGTCTATATAGCCAAGACAATCCTAAGCAAAAAGAACAAAGCTGGAGGCATCATGCTACCTGGCTTCAAACTATACTATAAGGCTACAGTAACCAAAACAACATGGTACTGGTACCAAAACAGACATATAGATCAATGGAAGACAACAGAGACCTCAGAAATACCACCACATACCTCCACCCTCTGATCTTTAACAAACCTGACAAAAACAAGCAATGGGAAAAGATTCCCTATTTAATAAATGGTGTTGGGAGAACTGGCTAGCCATATACGGAAAATTGAAACTGGACCCCGTCCTTACATCTTATACAAAAATTTTCTATGAGATCAGGAACAAGGCAAGGATGCCTACTTTCATGACTTCCATTCAACGTTGTACTGAAGTCATAGCCAGATAAATTAATCATGAGGACAAAATAAAATCCAGGCATATTGAAAAGGAAGTTTTACAAGATACATCATCAACCATCAGAAAAACATGAACAATAAACACAATGAGACATCATCTTATCTCACTTAGAATGGGTACAATTTTAACAAAATTACAAATGCTGGTATGAATATGAATGAAGAGAAACATTTATACACTGTTAGTAGAAATTTAAATTGGCACAACCATTAGGAAAAGATGTATATAGTGTCCCCAAAAATATCAATACAACTACCATATGATTCAGCAATTCCAATGCTGGGTATATATTCCCAAAACTGTAATCAGTATATTGAAGAGACATCTCCACTTCCATATCTAGTAGTATTTACAATTGCTAAGACATAAACCTAAGTGTTTATCAGTGGATAAATGAATTTACAAATGTAACACATATACACAATGAAATACTATCCAGTCATAAAAATGATAAGATTCTGTCCTTTGCAGCAACATGAATGAAACTGAAGTCTTGTGTTGAGAGAAATAAGCTAGATATCAAAAGTAATACTGCATGTGTTCACTAATACATGGAATTTAAAAAGTTGATCTCATGGAAGTGTAAGTAGAATGGTGATTACTAAAAGCTAGAGGGAGCAAGGAAGGAGGGAGCAAGAAGAGACTGGTTGATGAGCATAAAGTTACAGTTAGGTAGGAGTATATTCCAGGGCACAGTAGGGTGACTATATTAAAATTTTTGTATCATATATTTCAAAACAGCTAGAAGAGAGAATTCTGAATGTTTGCACCACAAATTAATAAATGTATGAGACGATGGATAAAAGTCCCTTAATTTGATCATACACCATGTAAAAACTATATCAAAACATCACACCGTAGCCCATCTATATGTACACTTATAGTGTCATTTAAAAACAAAATTTTAAAAATGAGGTCATCAGCTAAACTTCAGCCATCTAATTGCATAGAAAGACATACAAATACAGAGAATTGTAACTCTCCAGAAGAGAAACCCATAAGAGGAAAACTTCAGTAGCAATCAGTACTGGGTTAGGAAAACTTCACTGTAATTGAGGAATCACTGAAGCCTGAGAGTGGAAAAGTTTAAGAGTTAACAACTCCATGGGGCTCAACCTTAGGTCCTCCTTTTCACTTTTGAGAGTTTTATCTTCAGAAGCCTTACCAGATTCTTACAATACAGGTAGAAAATCTCATCATGTTTCTGGCACAGGGAAGGGAAATGTACCCATTTTAAAAATCACTCAGTGTACCCTGTACTTACCAAGCTCTGCCATCAGTAAAATTGTTTTAGTAGAGTCAAACCAGCTAAACTTTGATTAACCAAGCTGAGGTAAGGGAAATACTAATTTTCAGACTCTTCTAGTTTTCAATGTGGGAGAAGGGAAATATTCAACTGTAGACCATGGGAGCCCTCCATGTGAGGGAAGGGACATAAGCAACTCCCATCTCTTCTAGCCTTTCTGTTGAACCTAAGGAGATGGGAAATGTGAAGCATTTTTAAAGATAACAGCATGGAGACAAAGACTCGCTAAGATGTCCCAAACTCACAGCAATTGGAAAAAAGAAATCCTTCTGTTCTCAATAAATGCATCTGGATAAAGTAATGGAGGGGTGGGGGTGAGAAGCAATCTGCATTTGCTCCCCATATCTGCTCTTCTGACTATAGATGTATCCTCTGGAAAACTTTGTCTATGTAGATCTTATACGAGTAATAGTTTGCTGATTTCCACAAAGAGAAGGGACCATTGAAGACCACTGAGTGACATATATGAAGAACACTGTGAATCACTGGAACAGCAGGGACACATTGGGAAACTTAACTTTGCATTTTGCTCATTTTGAAGGTTGGATTACTGGGAGACATGTATTGTTTACAAGTACTGAGAACATGGAATCCTCTGGGCCAAAGCAGATGAGCTCACATACGAAAAAGTTTGGAGCACAGCTGTTCCTATTGTGTTTTCCAAAATTAGATAATTTCCTTTTTCCCTTTGGTGACATTCTTTTCCATAAGTTCCAAGTCTAGGTCTTGTCCTCCTTCTTCAGTTGACATAAAAATTATATCCCTGGAGAAAGATGAGCTGATGACATTGTTTTCTTCTAGTGATATATTGTGAGCCTCATCCTTCATATGTGGACTCACTCTAGGACTTAACCTGTGTAAATGTCTGTCAGCGTTAATAACAGTGAAAGAGCAAGACACAGGTGAGTAATAGAATGAGGCAGGATGTTTTCATTGAAGAGCTGAAGAGTTGTCTTCTCATAATTCATATTCCCATGAATAATAATTAAGTACAGTAGATATATCCAAAAAAAGAAGATAGTTTTATGACTCTTATGAGGGCATAAATATGTTAAGTTTAAAAGAATCTTGGTAATTTTGTAGTATTGTATTTGAGTTGCAATTGTATTTTATTTCTCTTAGTTTTATTTACTATGTTCTTAGGTTAAATTTCATATTTCATAACAAGTCATCTGAACTAATTCTGAAGAAGTTAGTCATTCTTCCTTGTTCTTTTAAATTTAAAAATACCTTAGTATATTTATATTATTTTTAACCATTTAAAATTAAGATATCATAAAAAATGAGACTACAACATTTTACATTACCTAACTTTTAGCAAATGACTGTGAAAATTATTTTGTTCTATTATGTTACATGAATGCTAATATAGAGAATTTTCTGGTTGTTACGCTCTGGAAATGTTCATTTTGTCATCTATCATATTTTTGTATAGTTAATATCTACATCACAGGTATAGAAGCTTGTAATATTAAGCATATTGCAACTACTTCAATTCAGTTTTTATATTTAATATTTATTAATATACTAAGTTGTATTGGACTAAAATGTTGAGTAACATTTTTTAGTATGAAAAATGATTTGCAAATCGTTTATTTAAAAAATTATGTAAATTTTGTATCCACATGCTTCTGAAAGTTTCAAATCAGCAATGTGCTTATTGACACTTATATTCACAATATGAGAAGCATATTTCCCTTTTCCTGTCAAAATTGACAAGTTAGCCGTGATTTCAGTAGGCATAGTGCCCTCCCATTGTCTATGTTTCCTAATGGGAAGGTCCACAGAATGGAGTAAGTTTAACTCAAAACTGAAAGAAGAAAATGATGATTGTCCATTTGTGGTTAATGAAAGCATAAAACCATCAAGAAAACTTTACAGTACAAAATTATTATGCCTGGGAATGTTAGACAAAGATATTAAAGCATTTTAAATGCTGAAAAATTCCCATTTTATGCATTTAGGGAGGATAACGTCAGAGCAAAAAAACCTCAACAGCGTTTAATCAGTGTATGTAAAATGGAAAGATGAATTTCTTCACATTCCAATTCCCACTAGAAATTTTTTCTCCAAATTTAATATTTAACAGAGTTAATAAGTATGACTTATAATCTCTTTACTGTAACAAACAGGGACATGATGGTTAAAGGAAAAAAAGCCTTGCAATTCTTGAGGTAAAAGGGTGTCACACTCACTTATATCTTCTTGGTTGGGGTGATCAGAAAACAGCCAAACAAAATATCAACTAAAAATGTTTCCATATATGTTTTGGAGTTTTACAAAATTGGCAGCACATGACTGGGGACCATGTCTGTCCAGTGACTTTTGTGTCTCCTGCTTCTGCAGTGATATTTTTCCTGCCTACGCTTTCCCAAGGGAAGCTGAGAATTAAATGTCTTGGAATTAGCAATTGGCTTGTCAGCCAGAGTCGTGCTTTCAGCTTCACCCCATGCTAAATTTAACCTCGAAAAGAATTGTTGCTGCATTGCAGTCATTCAGTGATATCTAATGCTTACCGTAGCTATTCTTTTGGCACTTGCATAGCTTATAAAGACCTGTTTATGGAACTAATTTTGCTGGATAAAGAGATTTTTTTTTTTCTGAAATTTCCAGCTGATTTTTTGAGGTTGCCACATATTGCTATTTATCAACCACCTTCTCAAGCTGGCACCCAAAACACTATAAATCACTTATTGCTGTTAGAACCAATCACAAGTCTTAAAAGAGGACTCAACTAAGGTGGGAAAATTTGTGATTAAAAGAACACTTGATTAATATGATAATAAAATAAAAGGGTTTTTCCAATGGATTATATTCTTTTTTAAAAAATTTTTTTGAGACAGAGTCTCTCTCTGTCACACAGGTTGATGTGCAGTGGTGCGATTGTGGCTCACTGCAACCTCCGCCTCTCAGGTTCAAACAATTCTCCTGCCTCAGCCTTCCGAGTAGCTGGGATTACACGTATGCCCTGCCACACCCGGCTAATTTTTGTATTTTTAGTAGAGATGGGGTTTCACCATGTTGGTCGGGCTGGTCTGGAACTGCTGACCTTGTGATCCACCCGCCTTGGCCTCCCAAAGCGCTGGGATTACAGGAATGAGCCACCACGCCCAGCCAGATTATATTATTAAATCTACAAAAGGCAGAGTGGAATGATCACTATTCAAATGTTCTTATTTATAAAAGTAATAGTTAAATGTTATCATGAAGATAAGAAAATAGAGTTTTATTAACTACTTTTTAGTCAAAGGAACATAATCCTTCAATGCAAATAGCTCTTGGATTTCTGCAAATGGCTCTTTTCTTTCATTATGCCCATCCTCTGTTCTTCAGATGTCTGATTCAAGCCCACACACTTTATAATGTTCTTTGTTCCTACTGCATTAAATTGTGTTAATTCTCTAGCATTATTGATGATTATGGTTACACCTTGGGGCTTTCAATATTGACAATAGTCCTAGGTGCAAGCCAGTATAATGAGAGTAACTTGATCTGCACTGATTGTTCCTGGGAGTGCCCAGAGGCTTCATTCTCAGCCCTCACCATCTCTAGTTGTCACTTCACACAGTGAGAGCTAAAATGTGCATTCTGGTTTTGAATTTTTAAATGTAACAATATAACTCATTTATTTATTGCACTCTGATCAAAATGTAAGTAACTTCACATTGATAGTGCTTTGGTTTTATGACTCCTAATTTGTTAATCTATTTTTGCAAATCCCACAATTTTTTCATAATGAAGTTGCCAGAATTATTTCTTTTTAAGTTTCTAAATGTTAAAATGTGGACAAGAATCAATAATTTCCTTGATATGTCAAAAGCAACTCTCAGTTTAGTTCTGGCATTTGAGATAATGTTTTAAATGCATGATAAAAATGAGTGATGAAAATCAATTATTTTTACACCATAGTCTATGAGAGCCATGATTCTTTCCTGACCAGGCTCAGCAGCCATGCGCTGCAGATTGTTATGGAGAAACACATCATTTCATAATCCAGAAAATCAAGTTTTCTTTAGTGTGTGATGGTTACTTACAGAGTAAAGGACATGAGTTAGAGGGGATGAGCTAAATATCTGTTGCTAGTAAGAGAAGAAAAATACTAAACTTATTATTGATATCACTTTATGTAATTATTTGAACTGTCTGTTCCTAATGTTTGGCTTATATCCTAGAAAATATACTAATAAAATTACATAAAGATAGTTAATAAAACATTGTACACATATTAGTAGTCCATATCCAGCTAGTCTGTTAGTGGTACCGGGGTGTAAGCCTAATATTTGAAGAACATTAAGTTATTAATTCAATGTGATCCCACAATTGTTTCTGGTTCCAAATTGCTAGTAGAACCAAACTGTGCTGAGGATGCCAGTGTATAATGCTAGGAACTCTCTGTTGTTTGGTTCTTGCAGCTAAAATAAATGTGTTCCCTTATTAGAGTAAGCCTTTGAAAAAATTGCTTAACCAACTATGCCATCACATAGACACTAAAATATGTAAAATCATATACATGATGCAGCTTTAGGGAAATTTTTACCCAGCCATCAATTCCTGATTATTAGATAGAAATGTGAATTGTCAAAAATTTGTCATTGCCCACATATGTATAATTATGGGACAGTAGAGTGATAAGTGACCTGGAATATAGAGTTGGACACACTCTCATCTCATAGGAATCTGAGTGAATATGGTGGTTTCTATTTCTCCATGTCATGAAGCAAAACTGTTCTAAGTCCTGGATTGAATTCAATTGCTAAAATATGGTTCCTGAATTCAAGCTAGGTAACATGAGATAGCAACAGATATTCTGGTATTGGAAATATTCTGAGAAAACCTTAGGGGAATTAGTTATTAGAGAGGGTATTTTTTTCTGGGCATATGAGAGTATCCCTGTAGTAAGTGACATCTCAGGAAAAAGATCAACATAGGTTATTTTGATGCAACCTGATGGTTTTCATAAAGTGATTAATGTAGTGATTTTTTTTTGACAATTGAGTGGTGACAATCTTGTACTGAGAGGAAGAGAGTCCCATAAGACATCTCAAGGATGGAAAGTAACTTGGAGGAAGCCAGAAACGTAGTTATTCTTTTTAGATTACCATTCACTTAAACTGTACAAATCCTATTGAATAATTTTTATGTCTTTCACAATTCTGTCTGCTAAATATAAAATGAGAAAATATAAAGTGATAATATCATTTCTACAAAGAGAGGCCTTGGTACAATAGAAGTTGAGAAACTGTGCACTCCACACAGGCATAGATGTGTCAATGTTTTGTGTATATGAGTTATTTGATGTAGAATATAGTGCAGAGGCTAGATTATGCAGAAAATATATGAGATAGTCAGGGCTATCAAAAAGTAGTGGCTAAAATTACAATGGTAATGGTCATATGGATCACTAAAGAAAAAGACATTGGTAATGTGAAATTTATTTTTTCCCAGCTTAGGAAATACGTTTCTTTGCCATTAAGATGGACACGCTTTCCACTTACCTTGTGCTTAAAAGTGTCTTTTTGCCCCAAGCTGCCGTTGGACTTTCAGCCAACATCTTATGTCTTTTCTTCCTTATTTTCACATTGGTTCACCATCACAAACCTAAGCCCCATGACCTGATCAGCTGTCACTTGGCCTTTATTCATGTACTGATGCTCCTCACTGTAGTGGATGTTTTATCTCCAGATCTGCTTGAATCACTACCTTTTGAAAATGACTTTAAATGTAAGTCATTGTTCTACATAAACAGAGTGATGAGGGGCCTAAGTATCTGTACCACCTGCCTCCTGAGTGTCCACCAAGCCAGCATCATCAGCCCTAGAAATGTCTGGTTGGCAAGATTTAAACATAAATTCACAAATAACATGGTCAGTGTCATCTTTTTGTTTTGGCCACTCAATTTGTCTCTCAGTAGTAACATAATACTCTTCACTGTGGCTTCTTCCAACATGTCCCAGACCAATCTGCTTCAGATGACTAAATACTGCTCGCTTTCTCCCATGAACTCCATCATCAGGGGAGTGTTTTTCACTCTGACAATATCAAGAGACTTCCTCCTTGTAGGAATTACACTGCTCTCAGGCATGTACATGGTGATTCTTTTGTTCAGGCATCAGAGGCGATCCCAGCACCTCCACAGCACCAGTCTATCCCCAAGATCCTCACCAGAGAAAAAAGCAACTCAGACCATCCTGTTGCTGGTCAGTTTCTTTGTGGTCATGTATTCAGTGGACATCATCATCTCATCCTCTTCAACTTTGTTATGGTTGTATAACCCAGTCATCCTGAATGTACAAATCCTGGTGGTCAATGCCTATGCTACCATTGCTCCATTTGTACAAATCAATTCTGATAAAAGAATAGGAGATACCCTTGAAAATATGCAATCAGTTTGCTGTCAACTTTTAACAAGTTAGTGATAAAAAAATTCTAAAAAATAAATTCTTTTCCTATGAATTGTTTAAATAATCCAAAATTTATTTGGTCTGACTTAAAATGTGTGGAACACCCTTTGATTATATTTAAATACTTTTGAAATGGATGCATCCAAGGAATATGTAATTTCTTCAGTTCAGTGTCCACCATGAGTCAATAGTTCCCTATCAAGACTCTTACACACTTACCTTCATTTAATCTGAGTAGAAATTTTTTTTGTCATCTTGAAGTATGTCCTTAACAATGTGCCAATGGTAGTGAATTTTCTTAATATTTTTACTTTTGATTTTAATCTACTCTTATTTATAAAAGGTACTCTAGCTAAATATCCAATTCTATCTCTTATGCCACTCTTGTCCATTCAAACTTTTTTGATTGGAAAAATTATGCCAATTTGGATTTTTTGTTTAATCTAGTATTCATTTTTAAAGCATTTTTAATAAAATTTGCATATGGTGAGATATTATTTTGATCATGCTTTTTTCTCACATTTATTGGGGAATATTTAATAAAATCATATGTATTTAAGATGCATAATGTGATGTTTTGATATATGTGTGTATTGTGAAATTATTACCACAATCAAGCTAAATACATGTCCATCACTTCCTATAGTTATTTTATTTTGTTTGTGTGTGGTGAGAACGTTTAAGTTCTATTTTATTTTATTTTGAGACAAAATCTTGCTCTGTCACCAGGCTGGAGTGCAGTGGCTCGATCTCAGCTCACTGCAATCTCTGCCTTCCTTATTAGACACAGGGTTTCACCATGTTGGCCAGGATGGTCTCCATCTCCTGGCCTTGTGTTCTACCCACCTGAGCAGGCTGTTCTGCATATTTGTCCCCTTGGCCTCTGAGAAGTGGCTTTTGTCTGCAATGCCTGTGCCTCCAGAGCCAGGCACTCCCAGGCAAGTAGTAGACACATCAGCCAGGAATGCTGGGGGCAAGGTGAGGGAATGCCCCTGGAAAGGCCCCCATGTGAAATGTCTACTCTCCACCTCAAGCTTCTCCCACCTAAGCCTTCACCCCAGATATGGGCTAGGCATTCCTGTTTTGGGTTCCTGAAGCTGGGTGTACTTTCCTTATTGAAATTGCCAGATTAATCACCCATATCCTTTCCCATCAAGTCAATTCCCACCATTCTACCACCAGTATCTAGCAACCTGCTTGGCATGTAATAGGTACATTGCATCCATTAGATGCTCAACCAATATTTATTTATAAGGGAAACTGATCACACACACTCTGCGCCTGGGGAAAAGGCCCCCAGCTACACTGTGAAAGTAGCACGAGGCGCAAGACCCCTGCAGGACTGGGAGGCAGGAGGACTGCAGTTTGCTTAAATTCCACCAGCTGTGGCTTTGGACACTCCCTTCTCCTTCCAGGCCTGTTTTCTCATCTGAAACTTGGACTTGATTGGACTTGATAATCTGTTGAGTCTAGTGCCAATATAAGACTTTTAATTTTTATTTTCTTTTTAAATTTATTTATTTATTTTTTGAGATGGAGACTTGCTCTGTCTCCCAGGCTGGAGTGCAGTGGTGCAATCCTGGCTCACCACAATATCTGCCTCCCAGGTTCAAGCGATTTCCCTGCCTCAGCCTCCCAAGTATCTGGGATTACAGGTGTGTGCCACCACACCTGAGATGTGACTTTTGTCTGCAGTGCCTGCGCCTCCAGAGCCAGGCATTCCCAGGCAAGTAGGAGACACATCAGCCAGGAATGCTGGGGGGCAAGGTGAGGGAATGCCCCTGGAAAGGCCCCCATGTGAAATGTCTACTAGTTTTTGTATTTTTAGTAGAGACAGGGTTTCACCAGGTTGGTCAGGCTGGTCTCGAACTTCTGACCTCAGGTAATCCTCCCTCCTTGGCCTCCCAAAATTCTGGGTTTAAGGCATAAGCCATAATCCTTAATCCATGCCTGGCCCCATTATAAGACTTTCAAAAGTACATAAAAACTTTGACTCACAGTCAGCAAACCTTGGCAACTTAGCCTTTCTTTTACTCATGGCCAGGCACCATGGGTATTTTTATCTATATGTCCCTGGTCTAAAAAGAGTCAGTTTCCTCATCCAGCTACATGTGTACCCACAGCATCTGTGCCCACAGAATCAACTAATTGCTTTACTCACTCATTCATTCATTCAGCAAATATTTATGGAATGCCTGTTATGAGTCAGAGATAATCTGCATTTTCTTCACCATCTTTGTGAGAATCTTCAAGAGAGTGATTGGTAGGTACCAGAGATGGCTCTTCCCATACAGAATCTTCGTGTAGGCATGGGGGTAGGCCTCTTGCCCTGCCACACTTTACCCCTCCTGCTGTTTGGCAAAGGCCCTGCTCCTGGGCAGGAGACAGCCCTGTGCGCTGAGCAGAGAGGTCCAGCTGGCTAACAGGCTTTCCATGGGGCAGGTGCTGATATGTGCAGGATTCTGGAGAGAGTAGAAAGGGCTAGTGCTCAGCCGACTTCTGCACTCCCCAGTGGAGACCTGTTCACACTCCCCAGTGACCCCCTTGCACACACCAGCCAAATATAGGTGGGAGACATCATGGGGCCCCTCTCAGTGACACTCAGGATGGGCCACTAGTCCCGGCCAGGATGAGTGAGCTGGCCGTGCCACCTGGGTGGATGCTGTCTAGGACTCATCATGGACTCTGGCTAGAGCTTCAAGGCCTTCCCTCTAGATACTGGATTCTGGTCTGATTTGTGCCTTTCCCCACTGACTAGCAGTGTCCTCACCCCTCTTCCCACCAGAGGGTGGAACAATCACAGCTTTGTGCAGAGCAGTGAACACGACAGGCACATAACCAGAATCACAGCCACAGTCACAGCAACCCTTCCGAGAACACCTTGCTTATTTCAGCCTTCTAAACCCTTGTGAAAGAAAAAACATCTTGAGACACCAACCTCGCTATGCCAAAGGGACAGTTAGGCTGCAGAACAGAGTCACACAAGCACTGCTTTCCTTTTGTTCCCAAACAGGCAGCTGTGATTTCACAACCCTGGCAGAGTCTCCTTTCCTCTGCTCCCTCCTTTCACCTTTACTTCCACTTATGTCAAATGCAGATTTACTCGCATAGGATAAAGCGTCATGGACTTTTTCCTCTTCCTTTCTCATGTAAAATGTAAATTTACTGAGGCGAATCATAGCCTCTCAAGAATGTAATCATCTGCCTCACAGCCTACCCTCACTCCCTATTTTTTCCCTCCTGTTTGCTTTTTCCCCTTTAAATATGAAAGTTCCCCAAAACTCCCTTTGGAAAAAGCACAGATCACAGATGCTCTTGTGGCTTGAATTTCCCTACCCTCCCTCCCACCCTTCACCTGAAACCCCCACAGCCTGTCATGAACTTTGGCTAAATAAACCTCTACTTGATGGAAACCTGCCTCAGTCACTTTTGGTTTACGACTTCATCTCTCCCATTTGGCCTTGGGTCCAGATGGGCTCAGGATAGTTGTGAACTGAATCAAGAGAAAGGGGAAGGTATAATGATGCACTGAAGATGCCATCTCAAGGGTGGTTTATAGAGCCCCCGATGTGGAATGTAGGACAGCTCCACCCAAGCGTCCCATCGGTGACTCTGAGCAACACTGGGCTAGGTGCCTTGCTAAATCTGGCCAAGTTGTTTTTCCCTTTGGTTTACACAGTCATCAGTAACCCAGGTGCAGGCACTGGCTCCTCAACAGATTCACCCTTCCAGGCTCAGCTGGAGTTACTGCTTGGCAACCCTTTTGAAAAAGACCTTTGTTATTTAACTTACTAAAAAGCCATATAAGCATAAGCATAAAGGTAAGCAAAAAGAAAAACCACTCATAATTCTCATAATTGACCACCCAGAAATAACCCCTACTAACTGGCATATATTCTAACATTCTTGCATCTGTCTATATATAGCTATATTACATATTCTTTTCAAAAATCAGATTATCGTGTTCATACTAGTTGTTCAATGAATATTCCTGAATATTTTTTCATGTAATCAAATGTTATTTTCCAACATATTTGAATGGCTGCATACATTTGATTATGCTGAAATTGGGTTATAAATTAGATGAATATTTTATATTAACCATTGGTGCCTGTCTGAAGTAACGAGAACTCCAGTGCCTCTCTCTCGGGGACTTCCTCCGCCCTGCATTGAAGGACTTCCTGAATCAGAAGGGCTGGTTCGTCCATCCAAAGCCACATGAGGAGAGTGCTGGAGCCTCCAACTCACTGTGGCTTCTGCTGCCACCCCAAGGTGTCATAGCAGGACCTGGTCCCTGACATTCTGAGCATCCTTGCCCACCAATACAGTAATGTTCTCAATGGTCCAGATTTCTACAGGAATTGTGGTCTTTCTTCAGTGCAGGAAGATCCTAATGTGCCAAAGTGCCTAGGATGGAAGAGGTGTCCAGCCCAGACACACCAGCCAGAACCCTGCCAGCTTAGAGCCTGGGCCTGCCACTGAGCTTACACCCTGGCCAGGTCTCCACCTCCAATGGATCTCATTAAGAATCATCTCAACCCATTAGAGGGAATCTAGCCATGTTAATTACTGAAGGAAAGGGGTTAAATGTTTCTACTCCTCTTCTTTGGGGGCTCTTTGTTCCAAAGAGATTGCCCACCTCCTTCTCAGCAGCAATTCTTGAGAAACTATGAGCTCTCAGATTTCCTTTTCTGCACTTCAACTTTCTGCTGGTTTGTCATGCATTCTTTTATTTGCCTCTCTTATCAGAAACTGTCCTCCTCTTCCAGGCTAATCCCATGTCCTCTATACACTACCGATCTTGCCCCTGCCCTTCTGTATCTTCTCTCTGCATTAGGTATCCCTTCTATATCTTGCATCTTCTATCTCTCCCTCTTTACTAAGTCCTTACCCTCCCCCCAGATGGACAAATCTCTCAAGCCTAGAAAACAGACAAGCAAATATAACCTGCCCCTTTCAACCTTAATTGCTCTCCCTCTACCACCCAACTCTCTCCTTATCTTTCAGGCCAA